CCTGAGAAATCCCGATAGAGGTGTTCGATCATTTTCGATGCTCTTTCCAACGATGTACTGTTTGTCTCTCTACTACTTATAGTTTTTGCTAGGTAAGAAACATACCTGTGCCGAGCTACCGGTGCTCTAAGCAAGTAGTCTCTTCGGGAGAATACATAAGACTAAAAACCATGGTTGAGGTTTAAATTTAAATTTGATAACTTGTAGTTTGGCAACAAACCATAATTTAGTCGTCAAATCTTACTGCGGTAACTTTTTTCCGCATCCGATATATTTAACGTTGATTTTAATAACATAAATAATTATTAAGTAATTATTAATTATTTTTGTATAGATTATAAAACTAAAATCATCAAGCTTACTAATTAAATTGTAAAATACTAAAGCAAAACATTTATGCATTAAAATACTTTATTAATCATTTTCTTATATCATAATAAAATGAATTAAAAAATTAATTGAACTTATTTTGATTGCACTATTTATAAATAATAATCAAAATCTATTTGCCATACAAACAGGTAAATAATAAAATAAAATATTTCTAATAAATTAATCAACATTAAATAAATAATATCAATAATATTAGGTAGTTTTACAACGGCAAACCAAACACTTAATTTCACTGATAAGTCGACAATTTATATATAAAACTACATGGATAAATAATAATTATAGTAATTAATTTGACCTAGCTTTTGTTCCTATTGCATACCCTGTGATTTCGTATCAAGTAATGAGTATTTGCACTACCGGTGCTGATAGTAGTGTCAACACAAGTAGCATATTTCTACATGGGTCAGCAAACATTTGCCTGCTGCAATTGCGTGTACCAGGTCAATTCAACATCTCATGATATTTGGTTAGCCATTCAAGATTTTCCACCAATAATCATACCGGTGCCCACAACTCATACCTACCGTGTGATGACGTTTGTTAATGGTAATTTTTTAAAAAAAGTTTTGCTTTTAAACTAGATACCTGAATTACAAATATTTTTTATATATCGCTGTTACCAAGGTGATGTATTTGCGCATAGTATAGACGCAGTTAGCACTGGTTATGCCCAGGCTCAAGTTTTTGGGAAATGACCATGTACAAAGGGTTGCCATAACACTGATGGTCACATCACTCAACTATCTATATGAGAGCTTTCGAGCAGAAATCTCACTTAATTTTAAAATAGGTTTAATTATAAAGGTACTAATACTATGAGAACAAAACAGGTTTAACACATTGAAATGTCAAATATTATGACTGACCAATGCTAGGGTCATAGGTTAAAACCTGTATTGAGTTCTCATAGTATTAGTACTAGTATCAAATAAGCTTAGCGTTATAGTTAAAAAGCGTTCAAAAACTGATTTCCAACTAAAATTTATACTAAAGAATAATCAGTATATTACAAATAACGCTATGACTTATTCTTACAAAAAAAATTAATATTTAATTATTTTGTATGATTAGACATAGAGTTTTTGGTTTTTGTTTTTTAACTTATATGTTTTCATATTGACGTAAAATATGTTCACTTATTCATGTAAAAACTCTGATTATTGTAATCATAAAATCTTATTTATACAAAATGTATATTAAAAGGTCATTATTTGCATGGTCATTCATTATATTTTATATGAAAGGGTCAGAAAAATAATGAGTATTATTTGTGAATGGTCAATTTCAGGGTTTTCTTTCTCAAAATCTTAGCGCTAGATCCTAGAGTCTCTAATTAGTACCTTTATAATTAAACCTATTTTAAAATTAAGTGAGATTTCTGCTCGAAAGCTCTCATATACAGATTATTAAAATTAACAGGCACATGTAACTCTTCGTGTCAAATCAGTGGCGATTCCGTAATTATACCGGCTAATATTAGCTTTGAGATTAATACGTACTATCTGGGTATTAATAATAACGGTATTGTATAGAAATTGTTAGCCCGGTAATTTCAATTTTTACAAATCTTTTTTATAAACAAAAACAAAAATCATATTCAATCAACGTAATAAATAGTATTTAACATTATGTAAACATATTTGAGCTGGATATAAACTTCTATGTTGCATATACAAAATAATAATAATATAATTTTACGAATATTTGTAAAAATAAAAATTTAAATAAATATTTTTAATTAAATAAATATTATTATTTTTTAAATAAATATGTTTAATTCAATAAAAATTTTATTTTAGTAAAATTATTTTAATACATAATAGCGTATCAAAGTAGCGTAACTATTAAATATAACTTTGATACATACCTGATATTTATTATTCACATTGCTACTATTTGAATAACATAAACTATAAAAATAGTACATAGTAAATGTTTATTAGCAAATAATTAAACCTAAACAATTTATTTTAAAATTTATTTAAACTGACTCAATTTTCCTAAACAATTTACTTTTATTACACAGTAGCCAAATACAAAGTGTAAAACAAATGTAATATTTAGTTATATACCGGTAAATAGATTTTAAACATTTTATAAAACTTTATTCACATAAAAATCATTAAACCCTGATGCATAATTAATATGATTTCAAATAATTTATAAAATATTTTTAAGGCTCATGCAGTTTTCCTAGTATTATATATTATCAAATATATTTTATTGTATAACATATTTTTATATTATTTGTAATTTATGTGGTCTAGGATAATTTTTTCTCAAATAAATACTTTGCATTCATTCTATTTAATAGTGAGTTGTGTTTCAAAAAATAATTTATAAAATATGATTAAATAATCTTTGTACACTATTTGTACTATAATAAAAATTTATTTTTGAAATTTTATCTATGATTACTTGTAATTTCTAGGAAATAATATTTATATAACTAGTACATAACAATAGCTTATGCAAGGTTATATTATTCGTCAAAAAACAAGGCACTTTCATCCCGGACCTTTATATTAGAATTAACGCAATAACTACTTAAGTGCATTGATTAGATAAAAATTTTGCTTTTGTTAACAACGTATACACTAAATACAATAAACTTCAAAATATAAACTGATCAATGTTAAGCAATAATACAGCCTAATTTGTTTTATTAAACTAAATTTATTGTTATTTTTGATAAAAATAATATGTAAATCATTATATAATTTGTAGATCACTTATATTAATCTCAGAAAAAATGTCCTTGTTGATTAAATAATTAAATATCAACTACGTAATATTAATTCTGATAAAATCTTTAAAATTTTAATCAAAAATTCTTGAAAAAGTTTTAAAAGTATTTTATTTAATTTGTCATTTTTATTATTTTGCAAATAGATATTCAAACTATACTATTATGACCCACTTAAATAATCATCATGATTTTTTATAATCAATATCATAATCAAAGGTATTTTCCAAAAAATCACCATGTTCTAGTCTGTAGCTATTAATATTGAAGGTTAATTATGAAACAAGGATACTACGGATATAATTGGCACTCAATTGTCAATACCTGGAAATTGAGACATTTATAATTACACAACACTTATATAAAGACTGTATATAATGTACCAATTATACCGATAATCCCCTGGCTGAGATAAGATTTCAAACTTTTCTATTACTCCCGAGTAATGATAGGTATTTCCAATGAATTTTATATTATGACAAACAAATAACTTTTACACTAAAAAAACTGTAAAACTATTTAGACATTAAAGAATTACTATGTCTAATGTACCTATCACCAAAATCAATAACAATAATCACTAATCAATACTTTAAATACATGTGTCGCTATATTAGATACGGCTGTAGTATAAAAGTTTGAAACTTTTTAAATTAATTTTCTATTATATTTGTATAGTTAGAGTCAGTATATAGTTATTTATTTATTATAGTTATATTAGTTTTAATTAGTTTACTGTTTAGCAAAAATGATTAAAACTAGCTTGTTGTTAACGTTAGTATGCATTGGTCTATCAAACTGTGTAAAAGACCCGAAAGTTGTTTGCTATTATGAGAGTTGGTGTAAGTAGACTAGTACATTTTAAAAATAAATTCAATCACATTAATAAAATATTTTTTATTTAGTTGCCTATCCCGATAGCCATGGCAAAGGTACCATGGACATTAAGGATATTGGTGAGTCCCTAAAAATGAAAAATAATAATTATTTTAATAAACAAAATTATTTTCATATAATAGACAGCTCAGCCTGCACACATATAGTATACGGGTACCTGGGTGTCACCAGCAGTGCCGATGTCAGTGTAATAGACACGACACTAGTTACTCAATATCGTAAGTTAACACTAAAATAAAAAAAACTAGGAAACTTCCCCTGTAAAATAATTTTGACCATAATTATTTTACTAACCACCTAGATCAATTCGACAATCTGCTCAAATACAAGGGCGCCGACAAGGTGCTGGTGGCCCTCGGTGGGTTCAACCACGCGGCTGAACTCAAGTACGCCGTCCAGAACCCCACCATTTTCTCGTCAAACGTACAGTCATTCCTCAAGAAATACAGTTTCGATGGCATTGTCATCGAGTGGTCGGCCAACGCCTGGAGCGCCGAATACATGAAAGATTATATCACTCTATTGGCTCACCTCAAGACTGACTTCGCGGGCAAATACGTGTTGGGGTCGATCGTGGCCGCTGAACAGCCTGGCTATGACATCAAGGGTGTTGCCGAGTAAGTAGATGCTAAATATACAGGGTGACCAACTGGTTCCATGACAAACAATAGCCTTATATTAGTGGTTATAACAGAAACATTTAGAATGTGTGTATATATAAAAACATTTACCTAACCTAACCTAACCTAACCTACCTAAATTCACCTAACCCAGATTACTTTGTTTTATAGAAATGTGGACTTTGTGTCGGTACAAACATTTGACTATCACGGCTCGTGGAACACTGAAGTTGGCCATGGTGCTGCCCTCGAGGACATTGTAAGTATACTATTTAAAATTATCAAATAAATGATGCTGATGATTTATTTCATTATAAAAGGAACGCTCAATGAACAGGTGGGCCGACTCGCTCAATGCCGACCTATATAGCAGACTATTGGTTAGCATCAAAACAAATATTTAAATAAATTCAGCATGATAATTATTGTTTTAAAAATGAATAATTAGATCACCCTGCCATTCTACGGACACACCTGGATCTTGTTGGACCCGAAAGAGCATGACATCGGCGCCAAGGCTAAGACCACTGGCCAGCCTGTGGGACCATTCACTCAACAACCCGGCAAATACGCTTACAACGAGGTCATTTTAATTTAAAATTTAATATAATATTGCAATCCTTATAATGTTTGTACCATTTGCGTGACATTTAAGCGTATAATTTCTATACCAATTGCCATGCAAATGCTACCAACATTACAGAGGCTATAAAATAACTCAGGTTAATATTGTTTTCTAATCTAATATTAAAAGCGTAATTTATTTTTAAACATTATCCAGGTCCTCCTAAAAATCAAGGACTCACCCACCGGTTGGAGCAAGGTCGAGGACACCAAGGCTGGAGGTACCTATTTTTACAAGGACGATTTGTGGATCTCGGTTGAGGACGAGGCTAACGTCAAACAAAAGACTAACTGGGCTACCAGTACCGGGTTCGGTGGCGTCGCGGTTCAGGCCATAAATAACGACGACTTTAACGGTTTGGTCGGTAAGAAACACCCGCTGCTGACCGCCGTCAACGACGGTCTCAATAAAGACCCCATTGTTATACACAAGACCACGACCTCCTCGCCCATTGTGACCCCTGACCCCCACGCTATTTGCCAGAAGGAGGGTTGGGTGAAGGACCCCACGGACCCCTGTACTACCTATCATCACTGTATTGAGTTTATGCCCACCATTTTCACCGATGAGGTGCACCATTGTGAGAAAGGTAAAACTGCCTACGATGAGGTTACTCACGATTGCATTGACCATACTAAAGTACCCGGTTGTTAAATTTAACACAATCGTGCAACGCAACCTAGTGGTTGATTTTTTAACTACATATTACATACACTATGTCATTAGTTCAAAAGTTGTTTGCTAATCACTGTACAAATGTATTAAAAACTAGCGTACTTTAAATAAAATTAATGTTTGCATTAATTGTATTGAAATTATTTTTAAAAATTTATCAGGCTGTTAAAAATATAGTAATAAAATAAAGTTTAATTTTCATAATCTAATTTTTTTTCAATGATTTCTAATTAATGTAATAAACTAATGTTTAAAAATAAAATTTAAACTAATATTAATAACCAAAACATTTACCTTTACTTTCACTTTAACTTAGTGTAACATAACTATAACTAGTTAATTAACTAGTAAATTTAATATAATTTATAAGTTAAACATTATAAAACATTAAAGTGTTATTTAGAAAATTAGTTTTCAAAATTCAATTAGTAATTTTTAAATATATGTTTCATAATAAGTTTATGTAAACATTTAAACTATTAATATTAAACATGTGTATTTTTTATAAATCACAAGTTATAATATTAATTAGAGTAAATTTAAATTATGTCACTATTTAGAATACTAGTATACCATGTTATATTTTGCTAAGTATATCATTTATTTAAGTTTTAATTTTAAAATTATAACTATTTGACATTCGTTTATCATGTACTGTACTTGTTGACATCTAGTAGGTGTCACTAATACTGTTAATGTTTCATAATTTACTTAACATTATCATTAATAATACATTTATATACCTGTTTTGTTCAATATCTGATTATATTTTGAGCTATACAACTATAAATAATAAAGTAGCATTTAATCTGTATATTATCCATAAAGCTATTTATTAACTACAAAGTTTATTTTACTGTTTCAAATAAATTTATTGCGTAAAGTAATACAATTAAAATATATTTATGATATTATTAGCATTTCAAAGTTATTACACTTATAAACATATATCAAAATAAAACTTTAATTTTAATAGTATACCAATAGCTACATTTACAATAAATCTTGGTTCAAAATTATGACATTTATAAATCTATACTTTTTTAAAGATTTTATTACAATTCCCCTTTATAAAATAAATAATTATTTGCTTTACTCAAAGCAATGTTTTTAAAATATATTAATTTAAATATATTTTTAGCTTAAACTATAAAAAAAATCTTTTGATTTTCACATAATTTCAAAATAGTTTAAATGTAAATTTTCGACAAATAAATATATTATTTATTAGTTATTTGTATGAATTTGGTCTTTATTAAAAATAATAACCTTTGCACTATTATGAATTAATAAAATGACATTATATTTACCAACCATACCATGGTAATTTACTTATTTTAGTTATAGTTTGAAAAATATATAGGCCTAGTTTTAATCATAATTAGTCTTAAATTTTATAAGTTAATAAGTTTAAAAATAATATGTTATCCCATACCATATATTTGTTGTGAAAATCATTTATAATATGAACTAATACATTTACTATTATTTATTCACTACCATTACCAAAAAATACATGAAAATCGTGAAACCTAAATAGGCTAACCTTTTATATAGCAAACAAAAATTCATTTTTATCCTATTGAACCACAAAGTTCGTAAAACATGACATAATGTAACCTTGATTAAAAAAGAAAAGTACAGTAGGTACAGTAGTTTCAAAGGTACGGTTAACATGTAGTCCATAGAAACAAAATAAATATGATGAAATATTGCCGGAATGTTAAAAACGTTTGATTATGACTCATTACTATGTGCTTGAATAATTTATGAGTATAGGTAACAAATATATAAAATTATATTTAAGTAGCATATTATAATAAATCAGTTATAAAAATATTTATTAAGTTAACTTTTTAACTTTCCGGCAATATTTTTTCCCAGCTATTTAGTTTTCTATAAACTGATGTACTAATATGTTATATATAATCATTTTTTATAATAATTATCATAATGATAAATTCCACGAAATGACTGTAATTTCTATGAAATACTAACGATTATACTTAACTTTAGTGTAAAGTGTACATTGCTAATATCGGGTAACAATCATTTAAAGTAATCATGCTTGTTATCGATATCCTTATGCTGAATTGACAATTTCCATATAATGTCCTGAGCTAGTTGACTCCATAATACCGTACTTATGAACTTGTTGATTTTTAATAAGACTTTATTTATTGGTTGTGGTTAATCAATATCTACTGTTGCATGTTATCTATGTACCATTTATTTTAGTTATCAACAAATGTTACTTTAAAAATATACAATTATTAATTAGCAGAGCATTTTTAAAATTCAAAATTTAAATTTAAAATACAATTTATTTTAATAAATTTAATATAATATTAATAAATGTCTAAAAATAAATAATAAATTTTAATTTTAAATTTTACTGACTTTCATTAATAATAAATAATCATTTATCATATTTATTCAATGTACCCATTAAATAAATTTACTTTAATATTTTAGAAAAAAGGTATAAATAATTTGCAATTGTATATTGTGTTAAAATCTTAATTATAAATTTTTATTTATAAACTTACTACAATTATATAGAAAGTGACATTTCTATATTTTGAAAGATCACACTAGACAATAAACAACACCCTGGTTACATTTTATAAACATCAGATAAATGATACATTAAACAATGGATTTGAATATTATTATCAGGTACTTATGTTTTCTAGTGAAATACAACAATATTAAGTACGATAATATAAGTTTTAAAAATGTACTTGTATAATCAATACCTGATATGACCTTCCTAATTCTATGAAATCGATAACTTATGTTTTCTTATTAAAAACTCTTATACTTAAAAAGCAATCTTAGATTTCATAAAAAATATTTATTGAGAGTAATTTTATAGAGACATATAACTTATTGATTATTTATTACGATTCTAACCCGGATATAATATTTACAAAATAGTATATAAAGATTTTCAAAAAATAGTCCACACATTATAATTTTATATTTTATTTGTCATACAAGTATATTTAATTTATTTGTAGTGTCAAACTAT